CCTGGGTGCGGCTTGTCCTGAAAACTGGGTTGTGTTGTTTCTCAGGAGTGAGTGCTCGTCTTTGAAAGGATATGATTTGTGTTTCCACGAGTTGCTTTTTCCCCTTGGTTTTGTTGTAAATGCCGGTTTTAATAGGTGTTTCTTCTTTTCTTCCCCTGTGAAGGACGAGGAATTAGTCTAGACGCGGTAAATTGGAAGAAATGGAAGAAAGGAAAAGCAAGAGGAGGAGCCCCAAATCGTCTACCAGTCATCCTGCTCAGGTTGCTAACTCCAAGAAAAGCTCAGTGCCAGTCAGTAAAAGCACAGCCTTTTCAAACCCTGCCCCACAGCCTGCCGTGCAGAAACCAAAGTTAAAACGGTAAGCTCAGGGGCATCTTGCAAGCTCAGAGTGGAAGTGAGAGCCAGAAACCTGCCAGTGCTCAGCCAGGCTGACTGACAGAATGGAAAGAGTTTCAGACTTGTGAAAATCGATGCTGTTGTGTCTTACTTAGTGAAGTTATTTGTGTTGAATGCAATGTAATGGCTATTTTACAAAAAAAAGGAAGGTGCTTGATACTCTGCTTGTAAGCTGTATGAAATGTTACACAATGCTGCATGCAGACTCATACTGAAAACAATTTAGCTGAAGCAGAGGATAACCTGATGTAGCTGGTGAAAGACACAGTTAGGTGATCAGATGTGGGCATTGCATGGGAGATAGCAGAGCCCCAGATGTACAGCTGTGTGAAACAAAACATTACATGACTGCGAGGTTGGAACTGACAAGTACAGCAGGAAACAAAGACCATAAATTGAACGGGATGAGCTAAAACTGGAATTTCCGGGTGTTTTTTGACCTAGGACCTGTCACTTGGGGCAGCAGGAACTCCCAGGCTAATGCAAGAGCTCTCTCTCTTGTGCAAAGGCATTCAGCTCTTCAGAAAGTACCACATAAGAATAGTCTGTGTTTTCTTTATGATGTGTCTGTTTCAGTTTGAGAACATTAATTTTCCTGCATGTTAGAAAATATATTTCTTGGCTGTGGCAGACACAGTGGGTAAATAAGTGAGGAGGGATTTTAAAGAGAAATGTTAACTGGAGAGAGGCAGCAGAGTTTACTGACCTGTGAGTAGCAGCTGAAGATTAAACACAGAACAGCCATCATTAGCACAAGCTGTTTGAAGGATTGGCCTGATGAATAATGAATTTCTGCAGTGTAAAGTCTGTATATTAATTTTCAGGAAAAATGTATTAATACTTTAAGGGAAATGTTAGTAAATACTAATGTGCTATAAAGGGGTGATTTCTGCAGCTGACTACAGTCTGCTTAAATCTCAGCACTATTCTGGAATGTACTAGAAATTAATTTCTTGCAGTCTGCAGTATTGTGTAAAGAAAATGTCCTTTCTGCTTTAAGTTCTGGACATTCTTGCGCAATTGTTAAGTCAAACTTATATAGACAATTTCTTCTAACTTTCCAAGCAAGAGTGTTAATTGACATAACAATGGGAGCACACACTGCTGTTATGATAGTGGAGTAGGAGTATTTAATTAATTTTCATTTCATCTGCAATAATCTAATGAAATAAGTTTTCGAGGAGCAATAATATGTTTTATTTTAAAAATGGATGGTCTTTCTGTCTTACAAACCTTTAAGTCTGAAATTGAAGCAGAACTGGGTAAATGCAAATCAAAATTGAGATGTGCTGCTCTGAGTTAAATCAGATCCAATAATTGTTGGACTGCTAGTTGTTTCAACATATGAACTCTGTAGTGTGTATGATGTTCATAGACTACAGAAGCTGTTAGGCTGGAGAAAGAATCATCATTTCCCATAGGATAAAGAGAATTTATAACTCACAGAGCATGGCAGTATTCAAGGGAAGGGTAGGGCTTACTAGGCTGTAAACCCTATTGTCTTCATTAATTAAGTAAAGCCTCTTTACTAAGCCAGTGATTTAATTATCCCATAATAGTGTGAATTAAAATTTTTAGGCTCAAAATTTTTCACTGGATAAAGTTCTGGATCATAGGCTGCAGAACAGCCCCTTACTGAGCTATGTTAGGTTGGAATGCAGTCTGTCTGTCTGTCTGTCTGTCTGTCTGTCTGTCTCTGGGTCAGAGATGGAATATGCCACTTCTCACTGGGAACTGTGTGTTTAGTTTCCATACCAATTGCATGTTCATTTGGTTTTTTAATGGTTATTCATTTTCATCCATGTAGTTTTCATGAGCACATGATGCTCTGAATAAATGTTACATCTGGAGCAAATTGTATGGGATCCAGGAGTTTGGATGGTTTTCTTGCAGGAAAAGCTGTAGAGAATTTTTAGCACATTTGCATGGACTAGTTGTGTTTGGTATGTGGTAGAGTACTGGGCAGTTGGTTTTGATGATGAGTTTTACAAAATTGGGATATTATTTGAGGGTGGAGAGAAAGAGCTGTAGGAAAATTCATGTGGAGGCAAGGTCACCTTCCTGTGTAGGTTATAACCAGTTGTTTTCCACACTGGGTGCAGTCTATAGGTGTTTGCAACAACAGGAACATAGAATTTTTGTGGTGGTTTCTCTCTGGCTTAGAAAGAGTTTGCAGATTCTTCTTGGGTGATTTTATGTGGCTAAGGGCTGCTTAGTGAAGTGGTGGAATCACTATCCCTGGAAATGCTCACAAAACAGTAGTAGGAAAGCAGATTGTTGGAATCTTTCATTCTGCATATCAAACTGTCAACATAGTGATGTTCTTTGCTTTTAAGACAAGCTGGTGATCCAGTTTTTGTCTTAAAAGCAGTGATGGAAATATATGTTATATATTTCCCATTCATTTTCAAAGCCTGGACATACAGTTTTCTTACATTTCAGATTCACAGTGAAAGTGAAAGCAAGAAGTAATATTTGTTTTGTTTACTTATTTGGTTTTTTTCAGTGTAATAAAAGAGAAAGCCAAACCTCCAGGAGGTGAAGCAAAAGGGGCACAGGCAGCACCAATCCAGCATTCTTTCCTCACAGATGTATCAGATGTCCAGGAAATGGAAAGGGGACTTCTGAGTCTCCTGAATGACTTCCACTCTGGCAAACTTCAGGCGTTTGGTAAGTGCATCAATTGTGGGTATACAATAGTTGGTTTTTATAGCTATACAGTAGTAACATTTGCAAACAAAACATTTGCAGTTTGTCAACTGGACTCTGCCATATGAAATTAAGTTTGACATAATTAAAACATTTTACTGCATTTTTAAATTACAGTCCCATTGTCTTTGTTCTGAGATTATTCATATGACATTTCATCTTTCCTTCCAGCATGGCAGCACCTTGGCTTATGGACTTAAGTTTAAAGCCTCCAATTTCTGATAGTGTAGGAAGAAGTACCTGTATTTAGCACCCAATTTTGCTGCATATTAACACTTCAGATGATTGGTAACAACTTTTATGAATCCAATGCAAGATGCATTTTACCCAGCTTACTCTTCTGTCTTAGCTTCTTACTGTTCTTACAGCTTCACAGTTGATGGAGGTTTCAGAAAAAATATTACACATTTCTGCTTCCTTTTCCTCCCCTCTACTAAGCAGAAAGATGCTTTTGCAAGTTTAGTGTTAGGTCAGCATGTTGTGTTAATTCCACACTGATTTTTACAAGAGAACCTGAGGAGTTTTTATGATATAAAGCATCAATTACAAGAAAGAACCCCCCAGATTAATCAGAATTAGAAAGAAGGTTTATTGTGATCATATTTAAACTTTTCTAAAAAGCCTTTTTAAATCAGAGAAAAATTCATGAGTATAGAAAAAAGATGCATATTCTAAAAACTCTTAGGACACTTGGTGGTTACTCTTAAGTTCAGCACAACTTGACATCAAATGGGATGACAGAAACTACAGTAGTGAAACAGTGGGATATCATTGAGAAAGCAAATTTACTTGTAAATTTGATGTTTAAATTCCTCTTCTCTGATATAAAAAGCTGAATTTTCACATCTTCATTTGCTCTCTTGAGTTTCTTTATCTAAAGTTGTTGCTTACCCTTCTAGGAAACGAATGTTCCATAGAGCAGATGGAGCATGTGCGGAGTATGCAGGAGAAACTTGCTCGCCTCAACCTGGAGCTCTATGGGGAGATGGAAGAACTCCCTGAAGATAAAAGAAAACTAGCCAGTGATTCCAACCTGGATAGACTGCTGTCAGATGTAAGTACTGGGAAGGCAGAAAACTTGGAACTTTGCCTACAGCACTCAGCTTAGGAAAACACCGCTACTGGGTGGGCAGCGATTTATAGTTGAGGAGAACATAGTTCTGTAAGGAACCAAGATGTAAGCCCTGCCCTCATCTTGGGTTTTGAGAATGCACAGTACCTTGTTTGCATTTGTTGCAGGCTGCTGGTGGTTTTGGTGAGTGGAGCAGGCCAGCTGTAAGCTGCCTGAGCATGTAGGCCTGTTTAGAGACAGCCTCTGTACCAGGGAACTGTGACCATTTTCCCTGTGGTCCATCCTCCTGCATCTGGGGAACATGACACTTAACAAGGAATTTAGATCTGTATATTCTACACTCTCAGCTTCTCCATTCTCTAGTGTGTTTCCATAAAAACCAAAACTGTTAGCATGTCTTTACATTTTCTGAACTTAATTCGGAACTTAGCTCCTTGTATAGAATTCAGTGTAGGTTTGCTTTGCTTTTGTGATAAATCATACATTACAGCTATTTTCTTCATCATTTTAATATATGTATTTCATCATATGAGCATAATTGTTGCATTTATTTGACTAACAGAAATGCAATTTCTGATACTTTCCACATTTATGTTGCAGCTAGAAGAACTGAATTCATCTATGTATCCTTTTCCTTAAATGCCTATTTTGCATTATAATTATTAACCATACTCAAATTACAGTTGTTTCCCCAGGAACTGATACATTTACAGGAGTCAAACTGCTTTAATACTACTGCCTTTTCTTTTACATTAGTACTATAATACAGCATGGATTTTAGGTTCTTCCAATACATAAATGACTGGATCTTAACACTTTTAAGTATAGGTTGGTTTTTTTTCTATGGTGATTTATTTAGCTAGTATGTACCACCCTACACAATGTGTTGACCATTGATAGCAAAGCCCATCAGCAGCAGAGTCTTGCTACAGGCCTCTTGCCAAGACATTCTGGAACAAACATCCATAGTAATATTCCTTCTATAGTATTCATTAATGTCCTGTCCCATTGATAAGTTAATCCTGTTACCTTTTAGGTTTTTTCTAGAAATAAGTGCAGTTGTTTATCACTCATCTCACTGTGGATAATGAACTGATTTAAGTTTTTATTTCTGGGGTCAGATACTTCAGCAGAGCTTTGGTAACTGATATGTGTTCTTAGCCCACCCAGAAGATGAAGCTGAATGTCTTAGTTTGTCTTTTACACTGTGCTTTTGATAGCTGAGCTGACAGTCGAGGAGTGTCACGTTCAGTTTATTCCTCAGTCTAGTTATTTCCGATGTTACACACTTGGTATGCAGTGAGGAAGGTGGGACTGGTTTGGGGCTTTAAGATCCTGCACTGGTGTCTACATTCCGTGCATATCTGTGAAAAGCTGTTTAAGGCTAGGCCTCCTAAAGAGCACAAGTGGAATGTGGTAGTAATAACACACAGTAGTGACAAAAAGAACCTGCCTTGATCCACAGGCTAATGCTGCAGGTATGTAATGCTCCAGTCTTCTTTGAGGAAAACTAATCTACTGCTTGAGAACCAGAATAGGCCTTAATAGAACTGAATTTGCTTGGACTGTTGCATACCCAGGATAAGCAGAGTTTCATGTAACACTGGTATCTTGTTCATACATTATCTCTATGTGAAAATGTTATTCCTTAATGGTTTGCTTCAGCCAAAAACTACATTTAGCAGATGCTCAAGACATTCCAAATGGTACCACGGGCTGAGAGAACAACTTTGTTTGGATTCTCCCACAAGCTTTTCTTTTGTTATTTCTGACAATGGAATTGGGGACAGTTGTGACTTTGTGTTGTTGGTTGTTTTTGTTTTTTTTTAAATTTTGCACAACGAAGAATCAAAGTGCAAATCAGGTGTTTATTTTGCACATTCCTGAGCACTTGAATTATGTCAGGGCTCAGAATCTAGAGTTGTAGGTTATTGTGATGCTGTGCTTTTTATTATTGCCTTACCTAACAGAAAAACTGGAGAAACTTTGAAGTACATTTCTTCTGCTTAGTGGTGTTCATATGGTTGAAAATGATACATGCATATAAGTTCATTGTCATTTCTCCAGTTTTTATGAAGGTAGTGATGATGTTGCCTTTCTGATCATTACACAGACAATCTGCACACTATAGCTTTAGTGTTTTGCTGATTGGTGATGCCACAGATTAACTTATTGTTAATAAAGTGAAAAGTTTTAAATATATGATGTTTCATTTAGAGAAGCTGCTATCGGTTCAACTGTGTTAAGAAAATGAGTTCCAGCATTGTCTGAATGTTTGCAGAGTTTACTTTTTTCCAGTACTGTGAATAATTATGTCACTAAATTAGAACTAGCATGCCTGCTAGCAGTCCACACAGTTTGATTAAGTATTGTGAAATTCCAAAATTTGGCACACAGTTCTTGTTCAATAAATCCAGTATATGCAATTTTGTAGTTATTCCTATGTTATAAATAGTCTGGTATTAACTGGTATCATCTTTCTGTTCACAGTCAGAAAAAAAAATTGCTATTACTGTAAAATCAGGCTGGTTTTAGATCTAGAATTTCTGTCCTGGTCCATCAGACTATACCTTTGGTTCTAGATTTATTTTATATTCAGTTTTATATTCTGATACATTCAGATTGTATACTGTATACACTTACTGAACAAGGAATGAAATCTGTATCCTTCTACTTGAGTGCAGAGCTTTCATCAGCCCAGAGTGGGCATGTGGCCAGAGAACAAAAGAAGCCTCTTTTTGGAAAAGTTGCTGCTTAAGCCCCAAGATGTAGTTTTGGATTCCATTAGCTCCAGCTCTGGTCTGAATCACGTGTAGTGCCAAGCCAGCTGGGGACAGAGGGATCGTTTAAACATCACAGGGTGCTCTGGCTACAGACTCAGCCTCAAACACCCTTATTCCTTGCCTCACCTATCAGGCAAATCTTGGCGATTACCAAACCAGGAGGGATCCTAGTTGTTGTCCCCTCAGATGCTTTTGTTCTTTACACAATTTATCTCCTTTGTAGTTGAGATCCTCTAAGTGTTTTGCATGCTGGTAAAAATACTTTGGAGTCCTTGCCTAAAGCTGAGTGTGTACTTACGATGTGTATACTTATGATGTTGTCAAATCCAAAGTCAGTTTAAGAGAACTAGAATACAAGCAGCTTCTTACAAAACGAAGCCAAGGTTGGTGGATGTGCTGGTTTGAAAGCAAACCGGTGAGAGACTCTGAGTCAGAAGTACAATTTAATATGAAACACAAACAAAACAACAACAAATATAACAGTACAAATTAACAACCCAAAAGAAAGAAACCACTGACAGTCAGCAAGTAACCCAGACACCTGTCAGTCAGGGGCTGATAGCAGTCCGATTGAATGGTGCTGCAGTCCTCCTGCAGTGATGGGTCTGTCGGAGCAGTGGTCCCGCAGATCCGATCCTCTCTCGAAGGTTCAGCTGCAGCCCCTTGTCCTCTGGGGATCCAGCAGGTAAAAAAGGGTGCCTGTGCTGGTTC